TAAAAATAATAATAAAATAAAAATAAATAAATGAATAATGAAATGTGAAAACAAATAATTCATGTGACTTCTTCATTTAGAATTTAACTAGCAAGTAGATTGTAATGAATTTTGTTGATAAAATACTTTCTTTAAAATAATTAATCATCACTCAAGCTTTTTTAGCACCTTCTCAGCTCAAGAACAATGACCACAGTAATTATCAGTAAATCTCAGCATCGACAGCACATCAACAGTATTTATCAGTATTTATCAGACTCCACAGTAAAGACGACAGTAATTATCAGTATTTATCAGAAACAACTAAAATTATCAGCAACAACAGTAAGAATAACAGTAAATATCAGTATTTATCAGCAAGAACAGCACAGTATCAGTAATTATCAAATATTATCAGTAAAATTTGGGATTCTCGGCACTTTTTTCGTCCAGTAGTGATACGTGCACATTTTTGGGTATTAAATAGAAATATTACTTGTATATTCATATATTATTTCCATATTTTACATCACTCATGAATTAAATTTAAGAGAATTTAGACTATGAAATCTCAAGAAAAGTTCAAAAGTAAAGCTCAAAGTAAATTAAAATATTTAAGTATTTACTGTTATAACTATAGTTAACTATAGTAAACTACAGTTAACTATAGTACATTTTTGTTAGGGATTAGCCTGAGTTGAAACTGAATGTGATTTTGAAACGATTTCACATTCTTAAATACAATGTATTTCATAAAAAAATGAAGTCAATAGAGGAACTAAATTAATGCATTAGTGTAAAAAACAAAAAAATATGCATTTTTTCCCAAAGGCCTGAATACATGTACCTATAGATTTTTATTCTAAACATATTTGTTGATCATTTTTTTAATATGAAATTGCATAAAATGTGTTTTTATTCTAGATTCCTGAAAAATATAAATAAAATCTATTAATTGTCCCTTTATAATAAGATTGATTATAATAATAAATTTTAAAATAATAAAATGAGGTAAATACACATTTCTTTGTAAATCACCTTTTTGTGAACATTTTCATTCAGATTTCTGCAGATTTCCGAACCTGGGGAAAAGGGTACCCTCATTTCTGTTTCCTCAATATTCAAAATAATTCTAAGTACCTCATTTTCTTATATATTTTGAAATATGTCTGTATTTCCGCTTTGTGGTTTTGATCTAAAGATGTTAATTGGTCTTTCTTTATTTGAAACATACATTATTCTGAGAGACAACCTTTGTAATTATGCAAACGAGGGGAGTAATATACTTTCTCTTGCGCATGTACACACATTTATATCACAAAAAGTCGTGTGTAATTCACAAGGATATGTTAAGTATTTTCCCGCCTTTTGAGGAAATTTTCTGAAAAAAATCAAGAGTGTAATTACGTGTTGGTATAGAAACCAAGATATACACCCTTGTGTTCGAATTTAAATCCATGAAATATTAATATTTGGCCACTTGAGTCACATGTATATAAACTTTCGTTTAAAAATGAGGAATGGATGAAAAAAATAAAGATTGCAAAAAATATATGAGTCTCATATGAAAATGAATGAGTCATTGCTAATTATATATAGGATCTCCCATGATTTGTAGTTGGATATGACTTTTATCCAACGAGTTGTGTGTTTTTTTTATCCCCGAGCCTTGGCGAGAGGATAAAACACACAACGAGTTGGATAAAAGTCATATCCAACTACAAATCAAAGGAGATTCTTTCTATCCCATTTTTAATACTTCACAACCAATGTTTTACACTGTTTTATATAGGACTCCACTTTATTTTTCTTCATCACTCTAACGCAAAAGCCATGGTGACGTCACAACTGTGGGTTATGAAAAAAATATCCAATGAGTCATATCCATGGGATAAAGGGATAAACATGGGATAAATTGAATTACTGAAGGTTTGATATTTGGAGAATTCAGAAAAAGCAATATTTCTTCAAGAAAGAAAAGGGACTTGCCAGCTACATTCTAGGAAATCAAAAAAAAAAAAAAAAAAAAAAAAAAAAAAAATAGATGATAATTTTTAACTGTATTTTGAAAGAGCGACGAGTTTTGTACATAACAGCTATGTGCTTTCTATCATTACCTACTCGAAAAAATACAACATATACTGATCTGAAACATACCATCCGGTGCCCAAATGTTTCAACATACTTGTAAAAAGGAAATTATAACTAGAATAGTGTATGCAAATAAGAAAAACTGAAAACGTCACCCTCAGACGGTTTTGCAATACCCATTCTGTTGGTCGTCACTTTAACCAAGTACTCATCGGCTGAACTGGTGTTACACAGAATTCTACAAGTAAAGATTTTTTGTTCATATATTCTTTATTACATTTCATATCAAGAAATAATTATTTTAAAGAGTAGTATGTCAATGTTATCTTGACTATGTCCTCCATATATATTCCCATCTTAAAGAAAGATTTAGAAATTTTTAACTTTTTATCATTATATGGATAATAAATACAAAAACAAAAAAAAAACTTTTCCTGTAATTTATAATGCTGTATTGTCATTAATATAACTGAACTGTACTGGTTAAAAATGTCATTTTTCACTGAAATGACTTAATAAATAAATCTTATATACGTAGTTTCTTTGTTTCTTTGGATTGTCTTTCAGGAATATGTACATTCCCTTCAATTTTAGAACGTTAAAAAAGGCTGATCTATTTTTCCTATTTCATGAGGGTTTAAAGCAGATTTTAAAGAAATATAATAATACATCACATCTGCATAACATGATTTTCCAGTAACGCTCTCAACTTGATTTTTTGTTTCTATTTGTTGTGTTCTTTAAAACGTTTTTATCCAAAATATGTCAAAGAAACGATATTACATATCATTTTATACTTGACATTTGTCGAGTTGACGATGTTGCATACAGCTTGTCCAATAGTCGAATTTGTGTGTTGGTCGTCTGCACAGTTCTCCCCTTCAATTGTTACTATCGTTCCGCCTTGTAATGGACCACTTAAAGGATATACCTATAGAATGCAATAATGAAATTATTACTTGATGCAATACTTAAATTATGCCTTTCACGGAATTTGTAACAAATTAAGATATTTTGGCAAGTATTAAAAATATTTCTATTTGAGGTATTCAGACATATATAAAGTGCACGTGGCATCACACCATGGAATTCAAATTTTTTATCCTGCAATCACCGCTAATATTTGTTTTATATATATATATATATATATATATATATATATATAAAGCACTAAAAACCAACAACACTGTATATCCTAAGTGTCGGATCTACTAAGTAGATACAAGGTCACAGATGGAAATTTATATAAAGCACTAAAAATGACCAACGACACGAACAATAATAATTGTCAAATTTTCGGGACGACCTGTCCCTTCCTCAGGATATATCAGATTTATTTTATAATATTATTTTATATTTTTATCAGATTTCCAAATTTATAATATATTCAAATTCATATTTTAAAATTGCCCTTCCATATTATCTTTAATTTCTTTTTATCATGTATAGTTTCGCTATTTTGATAGAATAAGACAATGTACGATTTACTGCTTGGTCGTAATTAATTAGCGATAATTTATTCGTTCAATTATGTAAATCGCTCTTCACCAGAGTACACCCGATAGACCGGACGCAATTCATAGCGCTCCGGATTTCTTTGTTCAAAACTGTTTATAAACTTCAAATTAAACATGTAAAAATGTACCGTAACACTGTAAATATTTAGTGTTTGGAAGTTTAGTAGTAGTGCTAGTTGTTTTTTTTTTCTCTATTTCCTTTGTTTTTATGACTTCTTAACTTTTTTCTTTGTCCTGAGGAAGGTACAGGTCGTCCCGAAAATTTGACAATTATTATTGTTCGTGTCGTTGGTCATTTTTTAGTGCTTTATATATATATATATACACATTCGTGTGTGATGAGGAGCGAATGTAATAGCACGTGGTACAAGGACACCTGTCCTCCATATATATAATTATATATATATATATATATATATATATATATATATATATATATATATATATATATATATATATATATATATATATATATATATATATATATATATATATATATATATAATTATATATATATGGAGGACAGGTGTCCTTGTACCACGTGCTATTACATTCGCTCCTCATCACACACGAATCTCTACACCACCCACACGTGAGTGGGTCACCACTTGTCACACATGTACCGCAAGTAGTGTGGACATGACAAGAATACAATGGAAATCTTGAAGCCTGAAGAAAGAATATTTGTTATCATCATATAATAATTTCTATCTATAAAACGTACTAATGCATTTTAATTATCTTAAGTATTAAATCTTGCTGTATGCACATGCTTATGCTAGACAAGATCAAGAATTAAAAAAATAGAACTCTTTAATAAAAAATACTATCGTAACTTGAAGAACACTATCCGCTCGATTTATGTCGCTTTATTTTAAAATACAACAAAATAGAACCTATGAGAACTGAATTCTTATGTGTTATTATCTAGTTTTCGCTGTTTCAATATTGACTGACAAACATAAGTAAGCATAATAAAATAAATTTACTAATATAGTAATCAACATATTCTCTTTCTGTATTTGAATTTTGTGTCCAAACAGAACACTTACAAGTATTTTAATTGGGCGAAAAACTTATTTCTTACCTTATTTCCATGTAGAAATATTACATGGGCCTTGCCTACTGGATCAACCACATGATGAGGCTCAATCCTCTGGCTTCTGTTCTGACTCAGATCAAATTTTAAATACGGTTTTCTTTCTCTATGCCGTCCCTCAATATTTTACTAGAAATGTGAACAATCTTTTCATTTGACATTGAGAGCAGTTTGCAAATCATACTTTAATTTATGATATATTTGTTAACCACAGAGATAACATTGTCATATTTTTTCTTGTACGTTATACGTAATTTCTACGTATGTTGCAAATTAAAATAAATAACATATGATTAAGAATAATGTTTACTTACTTTAAGAATGTAACCATCAATTGTTCCAATCCACAAAATATTCGTCTTTGAATTGATTCTATTTGAAAACACTGACGTGAAAATTGTCCTCCTTTCTTTGTAAATTAAAGCCTGTGGATTGAAGTAGGGTTTTGATAACCTCTGTATTCCAGGATTGGTTTTACGTGCTTCCCTTATATGTCTCTCCGAGCTGCAGTAGCTATCGACAGGCATCGATGACACTGGATACAAGCTAGAGAAAATATTCTTTCGATATTATCATTTATCTAAGGTACAACTGTTAAAGCTTTTGTGATAGAAACGTTGCCATGAACTCAAATAATTGCAAATTTTGTAGTCCCTATATAATTCAAAATTGTAAACAATGCATAGATTTAAGAAAGTTATGCATTTCTTAATAATTTCACGTTTAAATCGATATTATTTTTGTAATTGGTTTGAATTGATTTTCTAAAAAAATATTTTTTTACAGTACTTATTCTAAGATATTCACATTCTAATGTTATATATAATTAACTATAATGGAGATCTTCTTGAGATCTAAAAGACTCTTTAAATAAATAAACATGTATGTTTTAACAGTTACAAACAAACACACATGTTAAACATATGTTATAAATATAAATATTTAACTTATGTTATAATGAACACGTCTTTCAATAAATTTTCTTACTGTTGCACTAGTGTTACATTTTTGTGTTTTCCCACACGTCGATCAATCAGGTGGGCTTTGAGCATCTCCGTTATTATAACAATGTGTAATCAAATTATTAAACATGTTGTCTATTTCACCTTGGGTGAATTTGCAAACAGACACTGAAGCATTTTTGGAAGACCGAACAGAGTCTACGCTGCTACCAAATGCCACGTATTGTAGATCCCTCAATTTCCTCGCTATAATAAGCAGCAGTTGCAATATTATGATTTGTGCATTCGAGTATAATTTCATTAAAAGATCTCATATATTTGTCGCTCGAGCATATCCTTGACATTTTAGTTTGATATATGATTCCGGAAGATACGTTTCTTGCCTGGGTATAAATGCTAAAGACAAAGTGTTTTTTTTTTTTTAAAAAAACCGTAGATAAACTGAGTTGAAGTATCTTTTCGTTTTTTATCACATATTCCAATTGACCCGAATATTGTTGTATTCTGAAATTCCCATTTATTGGTTGGGTCAGCAGATCTATTATGAATTCCCATGAAAGAAAACTCTGGAAAAGTATACTTCATAGGTCGTCCATCCCAACTTCGGCCTATAAAATAGTTGTAATCTTTCTTGTCAGCAGAGTATGGTACAAATATCGTTCCATTTCTACTTCCAACGTAGTTTTGTGTATTTTTTAGAAAATTTTCTTCATATGATAATAAGTCACTATACAGAAATTTGCAACGACCTTGCTCAACTGTTCCACACATGAGCACCATTCTTTGCTTTGGAATGAACTCTAGAACTTGTACATAATTATCTGTTAACTGCAAAGAGTTGCAAGCTTTTTCAGGATCACATTGCTCGCTGTCTTGTCGGGGACCTATTGTTTTGTTGCTTTTTACATCAAAATTTTTGTCCAGATGTAGAATTATGTTCTTGCCGCTAATGTACACATCTCCATTGTCTGGTTTTACCGTGATTCTTCGGAGTGGAGTGAATGACAAAGGAACTGATACCGTTTTGTGTAATATTCCAAAAGTAGGATTTATAATTACGATCAGAAGTATGAAATGCGAACTGAAAAGGCAATTAAGATCAGTTAAAACTTTAAAAACATTGTTCTTCAAAAATAATGAACAATTTTTCTAGCCATTCTTTTATATAAAACCAGTTTTAAATGTTAGAAACATGCATATGTTTTTATTTTTAGGTAAAATGTTTTTTTTTTATTTTAAACATTAATTCACTTACTGACATTTGGGGAATATTTAAACAAATAATCTAAACAAATAGCAAAATGTTATGTGGTGAAATTCTTGGAGGAAACTAAATTGCCTACATGTTTAGAAAATATAAAAGCTTACCCCTGGAGGTGAATCATGGTGATGCTTGAATACACTGACATTTCCTTGAGTGAATTACGTATATATACAATGAACAACTCTTCAAAGAAGGAAGGAAAAATGTTTTTCAAACTGTTCAATGCATGTGGCACGTGACAGCTACAGTGGTAGATATATCGGTTTAATAAATTGTAAACCTAAATAGAGATAGACCTATAATAAACTTATAGAGAAGAAAAGTAAATCATTAGTTGATCACAATTTTTATCAGATTTTTTTTTCTTTTAATATCCTTTAACATTTCTGTTATTCCTTCCAATCATATTATAATTATGATTCATGTCAACTTTAACAATTATGGTGCCAAACATATCAAGAGGCTTGAAAATGTTTTGATCTAGATGAGTGCCTGTTTTGCATTCGAGGAAACACTCATTTATAAAATACAAACAATATATTTAGGCTTTCATTGCACATAATATATAAAATATCCATACTAGGGCTTTTTTTTAATTTAATCTTACTTTTCTGGGGTACTTTCTATAGATAACTCTACATTTTAATCGTAAGTTAGATTAAAACCTGGTAGCTCTACATGTATTAAATGAAAATATTTTTAACATTGTAGGATGTACTAACATCATCCTGTTTTTGTTTTTTTTCACAAAATACATGCATTGGCCTTTAAACCACGTTCGATAAAGAAATCATTTTGCCCTAACTGATTCTTTGAGTTCAATTGGTATCTAGATATAAAAGCAAATTCAAGTTCTAAAGTTTAATCCGTTACTTGCCATTAAATGCATAATTGCTTTGCACATGTTCGGGATACACATTTTAGATGTCACACTAAGATAATACCTGGAAATCACTGCAATTTCGTCCAGCACTCGAAAGCACTGGCCGAAATTTGTATTGTAAATAGTTTTCTATGACTTTGAAATATCGTGTAACACTTGATTGTTCAAGTTATATGTATCATATATTAGAATGATTAATTTGGAAATGATAAAATGTTAAATCGTTAAATCTTTCAAGACATTTAAAAAGGTATTTGCTATAAGGTTGGAACTGAGATGAAAGCGCTCATGTGGGACGGATAATTTTAGTATATTTATCGCAAAAAGAAGAAAAAATTATGTAATCATGTTAAAAATCTATATAATAATTTATTATACTTTTTATAATGCTTAGATTAGCTTAAATATGGATTATATACAGTATGGAATATATATATATATATATATATATATATATATATATATATATATATATATATATATATATATATATATATATATATATATATATATATATATATATATATATATATATATATATATATATACGATTGCTACATGCTTAAGAGAATTGAGGAAGGTCATTCAGTATTCAAGACCTTGCTTGCCTTCCATAGTACAGTTCTTCTTGTTAATTTAAAGTTGTATTGGAGAGAAACAGTTATATTAAGTCAATGAGTATAATTTTAAATTATTTAAATTATGTAAAATAAGAAGAATGTTTATCGTTTCATTACAGTTACTTCTGTTATCAATTCCTCCAAAAAAGAAAATATAATTAGAAGAAAACATATGAAATTAAAGAGACAATTAAATTTTGAAAGCAATGAAATATGGAGATAACGAACAGTAATCAAGTTCTTAAGTCCATTGAAACAAATCAAGTCGGAAGCAGAGCAAACACGAGCCTCTAACAACATTAGAGGTGGGATCAGGTGCCATGGAGGAGTTAGCATCCCCTGTCGACCAGTCATCAAACCCGCCGTGTGCTCATTGTCATGATTGGGCAAATAGAAATCCGTAGACAATTCATTGTGTAAATAATGGTATGGATAACGGATGGAAAACGTCGGTCAGTATTCGACTTAATGATGTTTGTATTTGCTGACAAGGTCATTGTATCGTTCATAGAACTTGCCAAATGTTTACCTCAAACGAAAGCGTTTATATTCTTGTTTCATCAACTTTTTGTCAAAAGCATGCCTCGTTTTAGAAGTTGTTTGTACGTAGAGCAAGCTCTTGCGTATCGAATCAACTGGGAGACATAAAGGGAAGAAAATGAAATATTGTTAAAATAATCGTTAAAGGAACTATAGATTGTATAAAAAACAGACGGTTAAAATGTCAAGAGTAAAGGAAGGAGAACTAGATAGGAAATGAATCAGAAGGAAACAGAAATGAGATTAAAACAAGATATGTTCGTGAAACACTGATGCCTCCCGTATGACAACTTATATCAAAAATTAAACTTTCTCAAATGCATATCAAATATATTGGTTCCCAGAAAAATGTATTGTCTCGAGGAATATACCTGTGAAATATGAAACCCCTAGCAGCAACCAATGAATAGATATGGTAAAGGTTAAAGTTTTTTAAAAATATGTTAAACATCAAGGTCAAATGGTCAAAATTTATGATGCCCAAAGAATTGCCTTCTCACAAGAAATGCACATGTGAAAAATGAAAGCCGTAGCACCAATCGTTCATAAGTTATGGCCAAGGTAAATGTTTTTCAAAAGTAGGTAAAACTCCAAGGTCAAGGTCAATGGATTACAATTGTTTGGTATCCAAAGAAAGGTCTTTCCTCAAGAAATAGACACGTCAAATAAGAAAGCCCTAGCACCAACTGTTCAAAAATTATGGCCAAGATTAAAATTGTCCAAAAGTTAGTAAAAATCCAAGGTCAAGGTCAAAGGGGCAAAGTCGATGGTATCCAAAGGAAGGTCTTGTCATATAAATTATCTATTTGAAGTATGAAAGCTTTAGACCTTACCATTTAAAAGTTATGGCCAAGGTTTAAGTTTTTCAAAAGTAGGTCAAACTCCAAGATCAAGATCAAAGGGTCAAAATTGTTGGTATCCAAAGAAAGGTCTTGTCAAATGAATTACATATGTGAAGTATGAAAGCCCTATCGGCAACCGTTCAAAAGTTATGACTAAAGTTAAAGTTTTTTCTTAAAAAAAGTAGGTCAAATTTCTTGGTCAAGGGTAAAGAGTCAAAGTTGTTGATATCCAAAGAAAGGTTTTATCACAAGGATTACACATGAGAAGTATAAAATCCCTAGCACCAACTGTTCAAAAGTTATGGCTTAAGGTTTAAGTTCAGTAAAATTTTACAAAACTGGGTCAAACACGAAGGTCAAGGTCAAAAGGTTAAACATGGTACCCAAAGAAAGGTCTTGTCACAAGAAATACACAT